TTTAAATAAAAGGTATTCTGGTTAGTTTAATTATGCATTTCTCTTCAGTGTTGTACAGCATTCTTTAGAGCTGCCTACAGCTTTTTCCATTCTACTTCCTACTTAATGAGTTAAAACTTGTGAAGCTGTGGAACAGTAGCTACAATTCATAGTACAAATATGTTAAAACATATATCTTCATGAAAAAAAAATGTTTTTTTATTGAACTCCTTCAGTTTCTGAAGCTTTTAAACTGAAAGTAATGTTAAGCAGTGCAATGCAAGATAGTCTGTTTAGTGGCTGAGTTAGTTTCAGCTATGCTATTTAAGGAATTATTTAGTAACTTATATTACTTAGCAGGAAAGTACACAGTTGCTTGAGTAATCTGAAAAATCAGGGAAAAAAATATAGACTAACAGTTCTGTAAAACACTGTAACAGCGCTGTACAGTGCCACAGTTTTGCTCATATTTACGATCTTCTCTATCCAAAGAATCTCTAAAATAGTAATTTTACAGGACAAGGCAAAGCTCTTCTCAACTTTCAATGTAAGTTAAGGTAAAGAGATTTTATTCCAAATGACTCCGAAGCATTCTATTGGTCAATTGATCACGATATTTTCACACAATGAAAAGGCCAGCTGCTTTGTTCAAGTGATGTATCAAAATAAAAATTCAACAAAAATGGAGAAACATGTTTTTCTTTGGATAGCGATAATATGATACCATACTTTGCTACCGCAAAATGGGAGTAACATAACATTAGCAAGTTACTAAAGTGAATGAGAATTCAGAGACAGTGCAGCTCTCACTAGGCTACTACCATGGACATGGGAAGTGGAGGTGCTGAGGGTATGGTAGCAGCCCCAGATTTCAGGATTGTTTCCAAAGTTGGGAAGCTGCGCAAAATGTAGATAAAAACAGAATGTAATGATGTGCAAATCATTTAAACCCTATATTTAATTTGAAATACAAATTGAAGTACAAAGACAATGTTGAAACACAAATTGAAGTACAAAGACAATGTTGTTTATACAATTATCAAATGTTGAAACTGAGAAATGTTATGTTTTTTATTATTTTTTTTACTTAATGCCCATTTTGAATTTGATGCCAGCAACACGTTTCAAAAAAGTTGGGAGGGGGGCAACAAAAGAAAGCAAAGTTGTGTAATGCTAAAACAACACCTAGTGGAACATCTCACAACTAAGTAGAGGTCAGAGGTATAGATGATGAGGGGTTCATCACTCTGTGAAAGATTGTGTGGGCAAATCATGCAACAATTCAAGAATAATGTTTTTCAATGTAAAATAGCAAAGAACTTGGGAAATTCATCATCTATAGTACAGAATATCATTAAAAGATTCAAAGAATCCGGAGAAATCTCTGCATGCAAGAGACAAGGCTGAAAACTAATATTGGCTGGCTGTGATCTTTGGGCCCTCAGACAGCACTGGATTAAAAACAGTGAAATCACTGCATGGGCTCACAAACACTTTTAAAAAACATTGTCTGTGAACACAGTTTGTCGCTGCATCCATAAATGCGAGTTAACTCTATCATGCAAAGAAGAAACTATATATAAACAAGATCCAGAAACTCTGTCCCTTTCTCTGGCCCTGCGCTCATTTAAAATGGACTAAGGGAAAGTAGAAAAGTGTCCTGTGGTCTGAAAAGCCAGCGTTCGTGATGGTATGGTGGTGCATTGGTGCTCATGGCATGGGTGACTTGCACATCTGTGAAGGCACCATTAATGCTAAACAATATATACAAGAACAACATATGCTGTCGTCCAGATGACACATGGCCTTGCTCATTCCAGCAAGACAATGCCAAACAGCATTCTGCATGTATTACAACAGCATGGCTCCATACTAAGAGTCCAGATGCTAAACTGGCCTGCCGGCAGTCCAGACCAGTCACCCACTGAAAAAATTGCCGCATTATGTCATGAAAAATATGACAAAGGACACCCTGAAATGTTGAGCAGCTGGAATCCTATATATCCTATATATAATCCTATATATATCCTATATCAAGCAAGAATGGGAAAACATTTCACTTTCAAAACTACAGCAGTTAGACTCCTCAGTTCCCAAACGCTTACAGAATGTAAGTGTTGCTGGCGTCAAGTTCAAAATGGGAATATATTTTTCAAAGAATTGTCTGTATATTGTCATCTCTCACCACATTATAGCACATTATGGCATGTTCTGTTTGATAGAAATTACCAAAAAATGAAAACATCATATCATTTTGCATGACATATCATTCACATCACGTATATGCTGCTTAAAATTTCAGCACCACCAACTTAAAACACCTTCCTGCGTCCCTGACTTCTACAACCGTAGCTGTCATTACCTAAAACTAAAAACAACAAAAATATATATTTATTAAACTCACATGATGGCACATCAGTCACTGAGGAGACAAAATCTTTGACGAGACATCATCTGCCACTGCAACAGTTAGCTTTAGTGTTATTTAGCTCATTGACTAATATGAAGGGGCAAATACTTACGATTTCCCTCAGCTATTTTCAAATAAAACAATGTTTCTTTAGCTTACTAGCAGTAGTGCACCAGTTTACCACAAGTGTGTATTGTGATTTGTTAATATCGAGCAAATAGCTGTTTTTTCTATTGCTGCAGTTAACCAAATGTTCATTCCTTATCTGTTCCTTACCAGTTTCTCAATTAAACTTTAAAAAGAAAAAATCATGATGGAGCAACCGTTTTCTGAATGTTTTTCTATGGTCTCAGTAACATCAAAGCAAAAACAAAAGAAGAATTGCAATTTGTTTCAGTCATTTTCTCCTATTTTTTGCAAAATAAATTCTGAAATATTTTTTCTAGGCAGCGACAGACAACAAAAGTCAAAGTCTTCACATTTAAATGTGGCAATATCAGCAAAACATGTATGTAAACCCAATTCACATCTAATCGTTAATATAAATGTGTTACAGTGAAGATTTTTTCACTTGTCAGTTCTGTGTATTTGGTATGATGCTTTAAGATCTTTGCAGAATGGTTTTGTAAGTCGTACATTACCCAAAACAAAATTCCTCAAGTGACCAAAGAAATGAAGTGTATACCTGAAGGAACATTACTGTACATGGATAGTGTTAACTTTCAGTTCATATTATCCAGTTAAATGAGAAATCCTGCTTTGTGAAATAGCCTCAGAACACTTAAGTACACTTGTCTGCTAAAATGCCAGCCTGAATCTCGTGAGGCTTCACTCCGTTTTCCTCCACAGATTCAGTCTGGCATTAGTCTAATAGCAGGCCATTTCTGTGGACTACTTTTTATTTAGCTGGACAAGTCAGCTCGTCGTGATGAGCTACAAATATGGTAGTTGGTTGAAGTTTGAGATAAATTTAATGGAAATGGGTGAAGAAACTGTAACACTGACAAAATCACAAGAATTGATGCTGTAATTAAAGGAATCTACTCCATATGAATAATTACCATGGACATGTTTCCCTGTACTGCTATAACAGAAGCCAACGGGCAGTTTCTCAGTTCCGTCACTGAATGTCTTTTTGTACCACACTGTCAAGAATTCTTCAGTCAAAAGTGTGATCAATTAAAGCTGCATTATGTAATTTTTGTTTTAAATTAAAAGAAGTTGCCCTGTAAAGCCTGAAATAATCATTTAAAAGTCAGAGGTGTTGGGTCTGATTAGGTGGGAGTTTTCCAGACCAGATAATATGTCTTTACGCATTAATGGTTAATTATTTAACACAGGCTCAGAAAGAAGGTCTGGCTAGATGTTCAAGATGCTGGTAATAGTAGATAACTCACTTACATCCTCAGAAGGCACATCCTTTACCAAGTTTTGACTGAGTTCTCTTCGAACACTCTTTCACCGCACTCGCAATCATAAGATTCATCTGCTCGGGGAAAGGGTCCAAAGTATTGCATGTTACAAAATGTTCTTCTGCACGTTGTGTGTACTTACACATCTCCACCAGAGAGGTCTCCAAATCCCCAAATCTTACACAGTGTAGCTTTATCTGTAAAATCTGTATTTGTTCATTTGGAAATGGAACTACTTTTCCAGAGGGAATGATTTATCAGCATAGTAGTGTGGGTGGAGTTTAGACAGGTAACTGCGTGTATAGCATAAAACGAAAAGAAAAGCAAACATAACTACATTATTTTTACTGTGCAGCTTTAGTATTTGAAATTGTAAACCTTCAAAAAATGTTTTAAATTTGTGTTATATGTTATATGTAAGTATTTTAGACATATTTTGATCATATTTTACAGCTAACAAGACTTCGGTTCTTTTCTAAATACAGAGAAACACAAAAATTATTATTCAAGGTGATCAACATTACAATACTGATGCAGATAGGCTCAAAAATGTTGGGGTAATTAAACAGTTGCTGAGACAAGGAGATTTGTACTTGAACACGGCATCTTGACAGCTGAGGTGTAAAGTAGGCTTTAAAGCTTTAAAGCTTCTGAATAAAGGTACTAACCTGAAAAGATATTAAACTGTCACTGAGGTGACAGTTTCAACTTCAGTACTTTTAATTAGGGAACATAAAACAACCATATTCCATTGAAATTATACTTTTTAAGTTGTATTGACTCCACACACCCTGTCTTGACCCCAGCCTTTTTATTTTTTGATCTGTTTTAAAATATTAAGGTGATAAAGTACAAATATGTTCCTTTCCCTTGAGAAGAAAAAACTTATTTAAGGTCCCTAAGACCTTAAAATCATGGTTGTGCATTTAATGTTACATTTACATTGTTTATACCTTACTAGAAAAAATACAAGTACAAGCTATCCTTTTTTTCTGGCAGTGTTGACAATGAAAGAGTGGTTTCTGAATTGTGTAGTACTGTACAAAGCATTTCTAATGAAGTGGCCAGTGAGCGGTAGTACAAAATGTTTCTAATGAAGTGGCCAGTGAATGTTGATCTGAGGATTTATGTTCACTGATGTTGGTGCTTCATAAGAGGGAATGATTAAGTGTGTGTTTAAAACTTTATTCATCTTTCAGGAGAATTCTGCGGAGTCTGTCTTTCATTCACCGAGCATGAGGCAGCACCTGTTTAGTCACACTTTGAGACAGGTAAGCACCCACACACTTGCACCACCACACACATGACCACATTGACACATTTAGATATTTCCTTTTCACATACTTACACAAAATGGCATACATTTTAGAGGTCTGCACAGGCATGAAGTTAAAATTTGAACCTGACTTGACATGTAACTTTACCAGGCCGACTGGTAACTCTAAATCTGAAACCTGAACCTGACCCAAACCCCTGACTTTGAGACCCAGCCCAGCTCGACTGATCCTGCTAAATTTCAAACCCAAACCCAAACTGATTTCATGACTTTGATCTAACAACAATTGTTATATGGTAAACGGCAGTGCTAACTAAGTGAGGAGCTGGTTAGCATTAGCTTAGCTAACATGCGACCAGCTCTGCTCACCACAAAACAGGTTCAATTACTGACAAACAAAAGCTACACTGACGCAAGTTTAGATGATAATGACTCAAATCTTAGGAAGCAAAGTCGAGCGATGGCCAGGAAGCTGAAATGAAAACTGTTCTGTGGTCATTAAATCTGTAGCCTCCTAACGTTAGCTAAGCTAATGCTAGCTGGCTCCTCTCTCCTAGCTAGCTTAACTAGTCTCCTACAGATTCTGTGCTATAGTGGATGGCACCAGCCTGCTAACTACACTTGTGTTAGCTTAGCACAGCAGGCTACAGCTCAGTGCACCACAGTATATGTTTAATTTTGACTAATTGTTATGAGTACAGAGGATAAAATGACAGAAAGTCCAAATCAAACCTGTTTTGTCATGTTTTTAGCTGTAGCCTGCAAACGCGAGCATAGTTAGCAAGCTGGTGCCACCCAGTATAGTACAGGGTCGGCTTCAGACGCTTATAAACACCAGTTTAGAGGATAAAGAACCTGAAAACACAGTCAAATGACTACTGGAATTGAACAAATGTGTTCAGGCTGTTAGCAGTTAGCCACTCTTTTGTGAAGTTTCTGATTTAGCAGCACAGCAGATGGAAAAAGAAACTGTAATCAGTCTCACGAGTCCACATCAGTGCGAACGCCCCGGGAAACGTTTGGCTCCAAAGCTCTGCTATTAGAGCTATAATTGTCTATACATTGAGGGTAATGTGCACTAATCAAAGCCAACTATTCATATGCAAATGGTTTGACTAGCTGCTTAAACATAAGAAATACTAACATATGAAAATGCTTAAATTCCTGGACATCTGGTTGACCAAAATCCTAGACTATCATGAAAGTCCAGGGAAATCATAAACAGGTGGCAACTGTAAAAAAATTGACCCAAACTCCATATTTTGTCAGGCTGCGGTGGGGTGACGGACCTCTAACACACGTCTATGTCCGCAATAACCTCTCTCAAACTTTTTGTCACGCACTTTCAGACTTGCACACAGAGGACAGAAATATTTCTCTATGCTGAGCTTTACAGAGCCCATACACATGAATACTGTATATGGACACTAAATCTCTCAGGGTACGCATGCCTGTGTATATGCGTGTGTGCCCATGAATATGTCTGTGTGTGTTCGAGAGCGAGAGAGAGAGAAGGAGAGAGAGAGTTTTATAGAGCATACGCTGATGCATTATTGAAAACTACTCAGAGACGCATCCTGCTCTTTCTGGCACTCTCTAGACGTAATCCGCTAAAAATATACGTTTACCTCATCTGTTTCTCTCTCTGTTCTCTGTGTCAGTTTGTCTGTCCACCTCTCTTTTTCCATTGGTCTCCTCCTTCTGTACCCTTCTCTTTGTATCTCTCCATGCCCCTTTCTTTAAAAGCCTAAGTGCTCCTAAGCATTTGTGAGTTTATACAAGAAAGCGACATAGATGGAGCTTCTCTTCCATCATGTTTTGTTTGTCTAACACCGGAAGACTGTTGTAGTCTCTCAGGGGAGCCATTCTGCTCAGAAGATGGTTAGCAAAACCCAGCGCAGCATTGCAGTCACCGTGATCATGGTGACCTTAGTGCCTAATTGCAAACAGGTCCTGTTTCATACACATATACCATACCAATATATAGATTTAGTTCAGTTTACTGAGAGTGCTGCTGCCCTCTACTGATCATAAATATTTTAGCACCAAGCCAAACTGAGCTCCTCTGATCAGGCTGTTTCTTCAAATCCAGTCATCTGGAAGCTGGGGTCACCAGTCATGCTGGTTTTCATTCCAACCAGGCAGCTGCCCAATTGGAATGAAAACCTGAAGCCATGCCGGCCTTTTCCGGATAAGATTAGTGACCTAGTGAAAGAAAAATGCATTTAAGTGTACTTTTCAAAAGTGTATTTAACATGAAAAGTGCATATCTTTCATGTTTGTGCTTTAATCATACTTTAATATGTAATAAAAGTGTATTTAAATTGTCATTAAGCTATAAATACCACTCATATTCTTCCAGTATATTTAAATAATGTAGAAATACGTATTGTATGCCTACAAGTGCTGTTCTGTTCTGAACTGCAACAACTTGTGTTGCAATGAGTTTAAATAAAAAGTCTTATGTTTTATTTTTTCCCAATATATTAAACTCAAAATAAATAGAACTTGTGCACTACAATTTGCAGAAAATCTGTACCTTACTGTACTGTATCTTACCCCATGTAGGGGGTTATCTTGTCCGATAATGTTCCTTTTAAAGATGTTCTTTTTTGTGCTCTAAAAAAAATCTGGCTGCTGTTCCAGCTTATTTCCTCTAACTGTATGTAGGTGTACACATTATCATCATGTATATGATGAAGTACATATGTGCAAATATGGTTCCGCTTTACAGTAAATCAGCATTGTTCCTATAAGTCTTTTTTTAGGAGGTTTCTGTTAGCTAGCACTAATATCTCCAGCTCTTACTGATACCCATCTGTTCTCGTGTCCTTGTGCTTTTATTCTTACAAGTTTATTTGGAAAGATATTCATACAAGCTAATTTGGCATGTGTTCATTGCAAGGAAATTTGGCAAGAAGTTTCTTTTCAGTAAGTGCAAGATAGCTCACGTTCTTGGGACTGAGGAACACCCACTGTTCTAACTCAGTGGTCACCAGCGTTGCTCCTGCACCCTCCTTTAAGATGCCTGATAAAGCTAACTGGGGTCTTTGCACACTAGATCAAGTGTGTTAAGCCAGGTTGATGCTCAAACAAGGAGACTACACAATGCAGTTTTAGAACCTTGTAGACTACAGTTTAACCCCTTAAATGGTCAGGGCCCACCACCAGGCCCATAGAATTAGTAAGAATAGCTCTACCAGTTTGCACTGAAGTCCCTGTATTAACTAAATAATCTTAGTATGTAATAATCCTGAGATTTTAAGAGGTTAAAAAAGTGCGCTGAAATGATGGTTGCAGAATTTTTCTCTCCACTATAGTCATGGCGAGTCTCCACCCACTATAGGTCTATCACTCTGTGCTACCAAGCTGGGAGGGTGAAGGGCAGTAGGGCAGCACTCATGTGTCGCATACTGACTTTTTACCACCAGGCTGTTTCAGTACACTCTGTATACTCATGGAGCACAATGTGATTACTCGATCCCATGATTAATAAACAATTTTGATGTATTTCTATGGACACCTGTAGGATACTGCAATTCAAGTCTCTTGCAGTCATTCACAGACATGCCAAAATGTTTTGAGGTACAAAAATAGTCAGGTTGTGATTGAAAACTCATGTAAATATTGGCTTGACATGCTTAACTAACCTTGGACAAGGTTTGCTAACGTCAGCTCTGTGTAACCAGCAGCTAAGTAGACTACTATTTTGTTAAAGACAGACTGTGGCTTCAAAATAAGCCTGAAACATTCTGAAACGTTAATAACAAGAGGGCTGTTAGTGACCACTGATATCAGTCTTTTTGAAAAGGGTTTTTTTATGTTGTGTGGATGGAAGACAGAGGGAAGGACGGAAAAGGTGTTTATTTGAGCTCACTGATCTCTGACACACTGTCACGGCAGTGCAAACCCAGTGGTGTACAGTGAACTGTATATATAACAAATGAATACAATTACTGTATTTCAATTTCAATGGCTGAACACATTAAAATTAAAATATCTCTTTCTCTCTGAGAATACTGACTGCCCAATTCTGTGTCAGCTAACAGGTGTCCACGTTGGCTAGTATCTTTCTGAATGTTGGGGAGGCCAATTATGCTGTCTTGTACTCCTCGCCACGGACGGCTGTGGCATCACCGGGGACTGAGCTTGCGATCTTCCAGTCATATGGCCAGTGCTTAGACCTGTGTTGTCCAAAGCGTGACCCATGGGTGAAAGTTGGCCCATGAGGATGCTTGGCTTGGGCAGCCAGAAAATACCCAAATACCTTAAGCCCACTACCTCACCCAGTGAGAGAGATAAACATATTTTTACAGTATATTTATTCTTTCTTACTGTCTGTTTCAAATTGTATTTTCATAAGTGTTTTATTGAGAAACATTAGCATAATATCACTTTTATACATCTTTATTTGTAGACTGTTTTGTCTTTTTGGCCATCAGTCCACCACAAACACCACACAAAAAGTTTGCCCCCCCCCCGGCTTAGATGATCAACGTGATGTTTCAACTTTAAAATCACTCCTTTATTTCAGTTTGGTTTTATTCCTTTCAATCAATGCCACTCAGTAAGTGTTTACCCCTCACAAATACTGTAAGCTTGATGCATGTTCATTGGTAGATCTAAGATATTGTGTAAAACTGTTGCCTTAAACTGAACCTATTCAACTTTTAAAACTCCAAACTCCAGCATTGATTTTCCTAATAGTGGTAGTTTGTATAGTGTAGTGTGAAACACTGCCACCCTGCATGCGGCGGGCTGGGGTTCAGTTCCCCACCTAGGACTCAATGCTACACCAATAAGAGTCCTTATGGCAAGATTTGCCAGCCACTGTAATGTGATTAAATTGTAAGTTGATCTGGACAAAAATACCCCCGCTTTTAAAAGTATTCTAAAACTGTCTTATCAGAGGAGAGCGTGCTGGACTCTGGATGGGATTGGGATTGATCTCTGTAGGAAGGTCAGTCTCCAGGAGCGAGGCTGATGACTGCTGAGCTGTTGCTAATGATACTTTTTGTCCCCCCCTCAGCTTCTGTAACTCAGAGACACAGCATGTGCCCCATCGAAAGGTAAGAACCAGAGATGACCACACACTCTGACCAATGCAACCTGACACACACATTGCTTTCAAACATATTAAGTGCTGTAGTTCTTAATTCTGCCTTATCAGTAGTGTTTTCTCAGCGGTCTGCTAGGCTTCTACATCTTTCTTAGACATAATAGTCATTATATATACATATATCATTTCACTCTGAGGTAGGTAGTAACTACATCTGCTGGACACCCTGGTTAACTTTATTGTCATGTTAACCATTTGATCATGCAGGAATTAAAAAAATTCAATCATTTTAAAAGTCAGGAAAGTTAATATATATCTTATACATGCAACTTACACATCTCTGCCACACGTAAAAATATAAACTTGTTTCCAGTGCCTGTTGTTCTAACTAACCCCATAGGCTGGGGTTAATTGTAACAGTTGCTAAAAAGTCTGGTAAATCAATACAATATACAATTATTTCAATGCAATACTGTGTTGTTTGCTGAGCTCTCCAGCCCAAAGAGAAACAAATATATTATTCAAAACGATTATAATTAGTAAAGAGTGGCAGTGTTGAATACGGCAAACTTGTCTTTGATCACAGTAGAACAGCAAATATCAGCACAATGAAACTGAAATACATTTTATTTATATGACATCTATAGAATGTTTTGATGCACCATACTTTATATGGGAGAATGTGGTCTACTCTGTACTTTAGCCTGACTAGCTCTCACTGTCAGCTGTTTATAAGCTTCAACATGGTGTTATATTACAGCCACCACAAGTGTGATTAAAATAATATAGGTGTGAATTCTGTGACGTCTACACACCGCCTAACACTTCTGATGAAAAAAGTTACTTTTAGGGTACAAATACTAATCTTGAGAAAAATCTGACAAAAATTGCCGATGACATTGCTATGAAAATGCAAGAACAGGACTAAAAGCGTGTTCTACCTAAACCCCCTTTAAGTACATAAAATATCCTGTTACACTTCATTTTACACTCATTTAAGCTCTAGGAGATACAGACTCCAGTACTAGATTTGGGTTGCATGATGGTTAGTTCTGAGACAGTCTAACTAAATTGTGCTGAAATGCAAAGCAGGTTCTAGCATTTAGGTAAGTGTAAATTCCTAACAAGAGTTTGTTATAAGACCTCCCTCTTGTTTTATTTTCTTAAAGATATTCTTGTGTTTCATAGTTGGCTGCTTTGCTGGCTTGTTTTGATGCTCTGTAAAGTGACCTTGAGCTTGGCAAAGGTGCTTTATAAATAAAACATTATTTATTATTATTATTATTATTATTAAGAATAAACCAAAAACACATTGTGCAAAATCATTAGTGGCCCTAAGGAATGTTTTGAATAAACCCAAAGAAATCTCCATCTCTGAGGTAATCTCTCTATTTGTCCTAGTCTCCCAACACTGTTGTCTATGACCATTTCTTGTTTTTTTTCCTGGGGTATGAACATGAGGTTACACACATGTAAAATCCATTTGTCATCCATCAAGATGGGTAAAACCACAGAGCTGTCAACTTAATTGAGACACAAGGTTAGGAAATGATTACAAACAAATGAACAACATGAAACCATTGAAGATTTGCAAGGAAGAGGACACATGATCGCACTGCCACCACATACAGCAAGGAGCATGGTAAGAGAGACAAAAGAGGAATCCAAAGATAACAATTTTTGAGCTGCACCGTTCAGTTGAATCTTAGGGTTTTCAAATTTCACCTCCATGACCAGGAGCTGTCTGGAAGTGTTCCATGAAAGAAGCCTTTACTAAGAACAAACTGCACAATGTGCCTTTGAAACGTCATCGAACAGATAGAATCATGTGAAGTGGTCAGATAAGACAAAAAATTAACTTTTTGGTCATGCACACCAGCATCACGTTTGGTGAAAAAAAGGGACTGCATAAAATGAAAAGAACTTGGTACCCAGTGTCAAGTACAGTGGTGAATTATTGATGCTTTGGAGCTGTTTTGCTACTAGTGGGCAATCAGTGACATGATGAATTCTACTAAATACCAGGAGAAGAAACTCAGCCGTGTTTGGAACTTTCAGCAAGATAATGACACCAAACATACATCAAAATCCACACAGAAATGGCTGCACAATGGGAGCACAATGTTTTGCAATGGTTCTCCAAGTCATCTCCAGATTTTAATCCAATTGAAAACGTGTGATGTACATTGAAGAGGGCAGTCTACAAGTGAAGACCCAAGAATTTAAAAAACTGTGAATTTTCTGCATAGAGAAGTGGTCCAAAATCCCTCAACAAGTGTTCTCACACCTTGTTAAGCATTACAGAATGCTGTTGTGCTCACCATGGGAGTCTGCATTTGTGAAGGCTATATTTAAAAAAAAAAAGAAAGCCTGAAATATCACTCATTGTCTATGTGGTTTATTTATATTGATAGCTTATTTTAGAAATGGTGCCAATAATTCTGGAGTTGTCTGTATGTACTCAGTATGTTTTAACTAAAACAGCTGCACAGTACTGTGGAGCAGGGCCAGACTGGGACAGTTGTTCAGGCCGGGAATCATGGCAGGACTCAGGACACACATATACTCACAGCTACTGTATCTGCATGAATAGTATGGGTGTTTATATGTATGTTTAAGGCAATACAAAATACCCTCTATAACTGCCCACTCCTTAATTACCAGCTTAATTACATTTTACTTAATTACATCCCACAGCCAAGGCACATTTTAGCCATTCATATTTAGTTACTCGTTCCATTATTCGTGTTTAATTTCAGTATGTTTTGATGGTAGCAATATTTGTGCTTCTTTGTGATTGGTTACATCTCTGACTTTGGAGCTTTGTATTTCAGACCAAATAAATTCCAAAAAGAGAAGAGCAGAGCTGCACAATCTTCTGTTCCTGTGCTGATAAATGCTGGATGTAGTAAGAAGTTCCACTGCAGAACTCAGCACTTAAGTAGATTTTCAACCCACTTCTTTTCTACCCAAGTTGTTTTAAGGAACGTACTTTTACTTGTGTAGTGATTTTATGCAAGTATAAATACTTTTACTTAAGTATAGATTTAGGCTCCTCTACCCACCTGTGAGTCTGATCATGAACAGTGTCAATGTTAGTTTTGATGCTGCTCCTGTAGCTGCAGCCTTAGATAGCAGTATTTGTTAGCTAACATGTCTGAAGAACATCAGGCTCTTTTTAATACCCAGTTCATTTTCTAAAGACTGCAGCACAATTTGTTTTTGTGATTTTATATCTCTTTCATTTGGACTGCAAGGGCTAAAGTGGACTAAATTACACAGGTCGGTGTTCGTTTATTGATCAGAAGTTTTGCAGAGATGTAAGCGCTCTGTTACTCACATTCGCCACCATGATAGCAGAAAAACAGAACATGAGAGAGACGCTCATCATCTTTGTGAATACCAATTTAAATTTAACCAATCTAGCCTGAATTGGAGTTCTGTGTTCTCATGTCAGAACCGACAGGTCTGCTCTATCCAAGGCAGGTCTGAAAGCTCCTCTTAGCTGAAATGGAGATTCTGATTGGCTCTGCCACTCAGTTTTACTCTGTCTGTTCGTGCTGGTCAGAGGTTTTTACGTTCGCATCCCGAAGTCAAAAAGTAGCAGGGTGTCACCACAGTACTTTGAAAAATGGTGGGTCAAATGCCTGCTCGCCGCCGTGGCTCCGATAGCCCTGAACCAAAACAAACCTAAACTAACAAAATAATTTTAACATGGCTGACCTGCCGCCTCTTTTTCGAGCGCTTTTCTTTTTCCCTCTCCAGATCACCTTTCCTCTTCCTCTCCATTTCTTGGTGAGACATGACAAGTACAAACTCGTTAGCTTTATTGCATTGCGCGCGCATGCGTGGGTAATGAGTATTTTTTACATGCTATGTCACAGCAGAAAGATCTGATTCGCGAAACAGGACTGCAGAGACAGTGGGTTAAAAGCTGTACTGTGTTGTTTAGTCCATCATACCGCCATAACATCGTCTAGACAAGCCGTCCAGGCCAGCTGACAGGCCAGGCCATTGGGAACGCTCCTGTTTCTCCCAACAGGTATTTCAGTGTAATTTAGTTAGACTACCTTGGAACTTTACATCATGTTACCCAAATTAATTGTCTAGCACTTTAGAGTTTGTACCACACACTTACCTGGTTAGTACCTAGAACTTAAGGTACTGTAAAAGAAAGCTTTGCCAAATGGCTATGTTATATTTTACCCCACTTTACTTTAGTATGCTCTTAAGCAGAGTAATCTTTTTACTCAGGTCCTCTACAATGAGTTCCTGAGTCCTATTTCTGTTTAACTTTATTCCCTGCACTGCTTTGCTGTTGCTCACAAACATTTTCAACTTCTTTTTTTTAGACCAAAAAGTGCCAAAAACTGATGAATACAGTGTAACAAACTTGAATTCCTGTGCTGATAGATGCTGGTTGTATTAAGATGTTCCACTGTAGCACTACTATTATTTCAGTACCAGTTCTATTCTAGGAGTCTTAGTTGCTCTACCCATCTCCATTTTATTCTGCTCTCTTTAAAAGAAAGATTCCTAAATGGTTATTGTCTTCGATGTATGGTTTTATGCGTTTAACTGATAGGAAACCTTTAAATTGTGGAAGTTTCTTTAAAGTTTTTTCAATTGGAAGGCTCTTAGGAAACCAAAAGTATGTGATGAATTACTGAATTCAGGTGTTTCAGCCGCACTCACTGCTAAAAGGTTAAAGTTTGGTGGAGGAGGGATAATAGTCTGGGGCTGTTTTTCAGGGTTTGGGCCCCTTAGTTTGAGTGAAGGGTAATGTTAATACTACAGCATACAAACACATTTTAGTCTATTGTATGCTTCCAACTTCGTGGCAACAGTTTGGGGAGGGTTTTTTCCTGGTGCAGCATGACCAAGCAAGATCCATAAAGATGAGTTTAGTATGGAGGAACTCCAGTGGCTCTGAATTGGAACAGATATTGCAAGCCAGGCCTTCTCATCCTACATCAATGCCTGACCTCACAAATGCTCTTTTGACTGGAA